TTTTTTTTTTTTTTTTTATCCTTTACCACGACGAAATACAGCGTGTAAGAAAATAGTTTCTGAGAATCAAGAGGAGTTCGCGGGCGGCCGAGAAGCGTGCGCGCGAACGTCGTTATCGCGGCTCGTACACGCGTTGAGAATTTTAAAAATGACATCAAGAAAAGAGAAAGCTTGAGGAGAGAGAAATCTTAAACGAATTAATTTTCGAGAAAATGCGAAGAATCAGTGAAGTAAACGAGGGATATGTTGTTCGAGCGCGCTACTTAAGAACAAGCAAATATCGACGAGAAGATCCGTGTGTATAATGTTGTTTGTTAATAATAATCGACCGACGTTCGGAGCGACGTTCCTCGGTAAAACTTCGCGTCGGGAAAGTCTATATGAGCGCGCCATGGCGGATTGCCGAGGTAATCGTTTTCACCATCGACCAAGCGGGATGCCGAAAAGCGGGCGTTGATCGTCGGTGGTCTTTTACGTGGCTTGGCATCGTGAGATCGCGAGAGGGATCGGCGAAGTCGTCGTCATCGCACCGCCGTCGCCTCAAGCATAGAACTCCCGATTGTGGTGAGGCGCTCCCGGCTTAGGGAAGGCCTGTGCCGCCGGCGATCTCCTTGGCTCGTCCAGGGCATACGAGCCCTCGTCCTTCTTGCGCATCCGGTACACGATGAACATGACCACCAATATCGCGCAGAGAAGACCTACTACCGCGCCGCCGATCACAGCTGGAATTGAAAAATATAGATAATCTCGTAGAGTATTAGGATAAGACTTTTTTTTTATGTTGTTTGTGTTCAATATGTATGTGTAATATAAGCACGCGCCAATATTACCTTTCATCTTAATTATATCAAATACTTGATACTTAATACAACAGTTAATTAACAATGAATAAAAATCGATAGAATTTTATTCAAGTAAAAACGTAAAGCGTGAGACGCTTACCTGCTAGGACGCCAGGCTGCGCGAAGAACGAGCTGGCGCGATCCTCGTGTTTCGGATTCATGATGTAGACTTCGCGGATTTCGTCAGAGTTGTCGGCGTGGTCGTCCTCCGTGCCGGGTGGTTCGTTCACGTCGGGCGCGCTGCCTCGATTTACGTCAACAGTTGTCTGAAAATTCGACACAATTAAGTTAATTTCGTTCAATACGGTGCGAGAGGAGGAGAAGCGAGCGTGTCATCATCATTCTTCGAACAAAAGTGTAACACGGACTTCGGTCGGAGCGGAAAGTGTTGCGTCAGCGATCTAATCGAGCAAATTAGATTGCACGTCTCTGTGTACAGGAAATGCGAAAAGTATAATATGTCGTAAAACCATATTCAGCAAAAAGTGTGATGCATCGTCGCACGGCTATTTATGAAATAAAACGCAATTTTATTGTCGCACTCTTGTTGGTGCAAGTCCATATTGTTATTCTTTGAAAACATTTTTGAGACGATATAGAAGAAAAAGATTACTCCGTACGTGTGTGTAATGGCAATAACTTTTTCATCCTAAAATATTACGTATTGTACAGTGTTTGAGGGTTTACACCGCACTGTAAAAGTTTTAGATTTTATAAACTCCATAAATTTATTTATTACACGGTAACGTACAAAGAATGCTTTTGAAGACAGAATTTTCTCGAAGCTCTGAGATAAAAAGTTCGCGACTTTCAATAATATCAATGTACTTACCTGTGGTTTAGTTTTAGCGTTTGTGTCCTCAAAGTAAGGTGTTCTCGCCTCGGTTGGTTTGCTCGGAACTTCTAATCCATTATTTCCGGTATATTCTACGAAATCACACAAGACATAAATAAGTAAATTCACCGTGGATGTGAATATAGATATGCGCACAGAGCGCAAAGTAAAACAAACACTTGAAACTTAGATTTTAGCGTTTTTGTTTGGAAATAATAAATCGCGTCGATGAAACATAAAAATTACCGAATTAAAATTAAAACCGACAAGAAAACAAATAGTTTGACAAGTAGATTGATAAGTACCTAAACCTCGTACAAAAGTTACTTTTTCATGTTTCACAAACTGACTCATTTGATTGAATGATATCGTTTAGTTCAGACATGTCGGGTGTCATACCGTGGTCGTCGTCTCCGTCCTCGTCGTCGGGGCCAAGGCCGCTGCCCGAAGCCTCGAGGTCGTCGCGATTATCAGTGCCGCCTCTACCGGACCCTTCTAAAGCGTCTTGGTCATCCAAATATAAGTCGTCGAAAGTGTTGTAAGTAGAGCTTGCCGACGTTCTCTGCTGCTTGTCGCTCTGTTCGGTTTTCTGAAAATCAGCAATTTGGCTGTGATGAGAAAAAAGAAAAAAAAAGAAAGAAAAAAAACGACTGCGAGAACACACATCCCGATCGGCACGCTCAACAATATTGCATTGCAACGTCGTTTAGGATATTCTGAAGGGTCATTGACATATGAACTACACGTCCTGCGCAACGAACTTGAAGCACTAACGTGGAACGTGAAGCACCGAGACTGCATCGAGCTAATGTAATTAAAAGCACGCGCGTATCCTTGCGCTCCCCTCCCCCCCTTCCCCCTTGACGTGCGGAATCTCTGTGACATGAAAGGGCTCGGGATCCCACGGTTCATTAAATTTTAATTTAACTCCGCCGCGAAATGCGAGCGAATCTCTTCTCGTTCCTCCGCCCCGCGGAGTACTTCCGATAAGCAAAACGCGGAATTCACTTATCTAGCACCGTCGTCAGACATCGCTATGCAAATGTCGCTCCGCAAATCTCAGATTCAACAGAAGATCGAAGGAGAAAGAGAAAGAGAGAGAGAGAGAGAGAGAAGGATAACTGCGTTTCTACGACGTTTCTTTGGTAAAAGATCTGACGATGGTGGGTGTAGGTTAACGTAAACGTTGCCTCGTTCTATTTCTAGCTGGTTTCTTCGGTCTTCTTTCCGCCTCGCCTAGCACCGAAATAGACCTCGCCTTCTCTCTTTGCGCCTTCTGCTCCGTTTCGGATTCGACGGTTCGTTTCTCTCATCGCGTTGCCTTCTCTATTAAATTGCACGCGGTATGACGATCCGCTAATTCGCCGATTTAATTTCACGCCGTATTTCTCTTTTTCAAGGTCGGCCTGACAAAAACAAAAAAAAAAAAAAAAAAACAAAAAACAAAACAAAAACTGCATATTGTTTAAATCGAGCAAACGAACAAACGGAGTGCAGTTTGTTTCCGTTCGCAGATCTTCAACAAAGAGCGGCGTGCGGATGATTAAGGAGGAAACGACAGAATGGCCCACGCTTCCGGTTACGTGATGTCTGCAAAATGCGAAGTAACGTTTTTAACAAAACGACACGAGGAAGCTCGCCGAGCAATATTTCAACTAATAAGATAATGTCGTTTCTTACGTACAGGAAAATTTTATTTGTCCCGGAACGGATCAGGAAGTTACACACCGTCGTTTTTGGAAGATACACTTTTTTTTTTACGGAGACAATATCCTCTCTCGTAAATGTCTCTAAACGTCATTGAATTTTCTTACGATGTTTTTTTTTTACGTCGTTTTGTCGATCGCGATGTAAATATACCGCTATATGTGACAACACAAACGATAAAAAAATCTTATTTTATTTATAACATAACAAAAAAGTATACACAAAGATGAGCGAAAACTCTGTGTTGTGCTGTGCCTTTTCGTCGCGTCAATGTGAACAATTGAATAGCTATTTAACGAATGCGCTCGGTCTCTCACGCGCGCGATCGATAACGCAAAATGCGCTCTCTTGCAATTCTCTCTCTCTCTCTCTCTCTCCCCCGCGCGCCTTCCGTCCGACGGAACAGCGATTTCCTCCCTTTCGCTTTTGCGTCCGAAGGACAATGAACACCCGATGACCGTCGAAAACCCATACACCTAGCCACGTCGGAATATGGTTCCGTTCCACGCACCCGCAATGAAACGCACTGTGTCGCTTTCAATACGTCGAAATTCGCGCGCGCAGCACGTTCGCTAAAAAAGAGGAAGCTAAGCGAATTACGCGACACACTAAATGCTGACGCGGTTGACGAATCGCCCGTCATGAAAAAGTCGACCGGAAATATCAGATCTGGCTTTTTTTTTGTTTTTTTTTTTTTTTCAAGCTGAACAACACACTCTTACGTTTTCTCTTCCCGCGAAAAACTAAAATAGAACATTTGATCTCGTAACAGAGAGACGTCAAAGCGAGGAGAGACGCGGAGAAAATGCAGAAAGTGGCGGAAGAAAAAGAAGACTCGATCGAATTCGATTTTCGTCGTCTTCGACGACGGGTCGAGATCTCTTCGATCTTCCTTTGTTCCATATTTCTCGCGCGTCATCTTTCTCTCAATCTATATATTCCTATACATTGGACGATATCTATCACTGTTAAATAAATCGATCCTTCTTTCTGTTCGAACAACACAAGAAATCAAAAGGCACCAGCGACAGAGGATTAACACACGACGATAATCAATCAACCGTGTCACGAAGTGCGAACAGCGCCAACGGGAAACTAACTATTGTAGTTACACGCGGTAACGGTATATATACTGATGTATACTGTTGTAAATGAAAAGCGTCCGAACGCGCGAGGAGAATTCTCTCGTCGGGAAGGAGAGCACCGATTAACCGAGAAACCGAGTCCTGGGACGAGATAGCGAACAGTCGCCGACGGCAAGCGAAGTTGCATCGCCGTTCCGGTATATCCGCCAATCGATAAAATTCAGCCCGGCGACGAGCTCGGGAAAGCTTGACGAAGGAAGGTTGACCTTGAACACCCTCCTGCGTCGATCTCCATCTCTCGCAGATCGACGACGCGTGTTTTCTCTCTCTCTCTCTCTCCCACGTACGAAGTTATTTGATTTTTGTTTGTACCTATCACGGCGTATAATTCTTTTCTCGAGCGCACCCCGATAACTCTTTCTCCACCCTCGACTCGGCTATCCCGACTTTCTTCGACGTTCTTCTTACGCCGCCGCCGCCGCCGCCGCCCGGTTCGCGATGATAGAAACGCAAGAATTATTATTGCGCGGGCGCGAAATGTTTTATCGACCCCAGGTCTCTCCTTTTCTCGCGGAAGAGCGCGATGTTTCGCGATATTTTGTCCTCGCGCACCTTTACGCACCTGCGAGAGTAAAGCTCGTCTCCCGAGGAACGTTACCCGGAACGTGTATGTCGGGAGAGCGACGGCGCAAAGGGTGGCTCTTTTCGCTTCTTCGACGGGAAGGACAAATCTCCCGGGAATTCGAGCCGAAACGATGACAACCGCGTGTCACGGACAAAGCCTATCGATGTTTCTGTACTTACGTGAGGGGTCGTACGGAGGTCACGGCTACAGGAAACGGCTGAATTTCCACGATGGAAAACGGACAAATTCGGAGGGTGATGCGCAGCGGTTTTAGGCCAGGTGGTGACTACCCCGAGCTAGTACGAACCCGAGCCGGTAGACGGCACTGCTCGAAACCCTATACTATATATCCCCGCGCGACCCTACACTATACATCTGTAGGTATGTATATAGTTCACCCCAGCCGGGCTTCTATATACGTCTATATGCAACATGTACAGATGTTTCTCTTACTCAGAATCGGCTATATATAAATATATCAAGAGAGAGAGAGAGAGAGAGACTTAAGAACTGAAACAATTCCTTCAAATGTATATCATTTTAAATGCGCCTTGAAAACTTTTCTCCTGATTCTCCTGTGCGAAGAAAAGCGCAATATAACTATCTTATACATTTTTCTTCTCTCTCTTTATATTTCGCAACATTACAATTTAGATCTTTTATATATACCTGCAACACCCCCGCCAAAGTATAAAATATCCAAATTGTAGGTAGAATCGTGTTGTATCTTCAAGATACGCGCGCGTGCACGCGCGCGCGCGCGCGCGATAAATCCGTCAAAAGCTTCGCGAGCTGCTGCTTCGAATATATTCAATAAGTCATGCGATGAAGCGATTCGCGAGCGGGATATTGAAAATCTACCTTGGTCCGCGGAGTTTGTTGCGCTTGTTTGTGAGCGCAACGATACATCGATGTCGCTTTCTATACGTGCGCTTACGCGCGCGCGCGCACACACACACACACGACAGCCTTGTTTGAATGGGCGGGATTTTTCATATTGGATTCGAATCCGGAGGATTTAGAACTCGGTCTGGTTCCTGTATGTGTGTGTGTGTGCGTTACGTTCCCTGACCGCCGTGTGCGTCGTCGACTTCTCGTCTTTTTCCAGTCCTGTTGTTAGTTTACATCGAAGGGAACGATGTCAACGCTCGAGGAGATGGAAAGATCGATCGCACGGTAGTCGTCGTCGAGCCTTTTTCCGAACGTGCGCGCAACATCGACGTGCGACACGGCGATACGACGAAGCGGCATTACGAAGCGAAGCAAGAAGCCGGGAAAGTGAGCTGAAAGACGGGATGAAAGCCGATTCCTTCCAAAACGGCCGATTCCGGTAATTGGAAGAACGATCGATACGAACACAAAATTATTTCTTTGCTCCTTTATTTTTCTCGAGAGAACTTATTTAAGCTCTTTATTACTTATAAAAAGGTCACGTGTACCTTGTATAGAATTTATAAATAAGAGATATTTCTCTCTCTCTCTCTCTCTCTCTCTCTCTTTTTCTTTTGAATTCCTTTCAGAGAAGACGTATATGTGTGTTCCACCCACAGCGCCGATGTGTTGCGACATTTGCAATAGAAATACGGCACGTGGAATGCGTGGCACGTGGCGAATCGGGCGCGAAACGACGTTATCGCTTCCCGGCCTATGATCGCGTTATCTCAAATCGTTAGCTCATCGTTGTCGGACCGGGACGGTGAAGAGAACGATGTGGTGCTGGCCGACCGCGGCCGGCCGATGCAGCACCTAAACGTTCACGGTGCGCTAACTAATTGTGCTACTTGCCAGCCATCGAGGAAGAAGGTTGCACGGCCGATCAAACAATTGCTCGACGGTGGGAAAGGATGTCGAAAGGCGGCGGCGAGGTAGAGGAATTCTAGAAAAGTGTGACGCGCGAGTATTTTTATAGTTCTCTCCTGATCTACATGTGGGCGGAAAAACGTGTTACGGGGAAGAGTGCCGAGCCTGAGTTGCGCAGATACATGGTATTACATGGGGTCGTGTTTAGTTACACAAAGTTGGTGCAAGCTTTCAGCAAATCTACAGCGACAAAATCAATTTACGCGAAAACGTCAAGAGAGAGTTTAGTGGTAGTTCTATTTAATTTTGCATTAACATAATTTATACTATTTAATCCCGATTTCTTCAAAACCTCCCAATAGCTTATAGAAA